TTTTTCAATTCAAATTGGTGGCCACAGTGCAGTAAAAATTCATGGAAGATGTCACATACTTGTTGTTGCCATCATGTTTATATTATGCATATTATATACAATACAGGGATAAACATGACGTAATCTACAATTTAATTTATATACACCACGAATACATGTCAATATCTTACATTACATGGTAATTTATACATGGTGTATAATAAACTAGTAATATTTTTATATTATGCATATTATAAACAATATAAAAATGACGTAAGTTACAATTTAATTTATATACACCACGAATGCATGTCAATATCTTACACTACATGGTAATTTATACATGGTGTATAATATACTAGTAATATTTTTACATTATGCATATTATAAACAATAAAAACATGACGTAAGCTACAATTTAATTTATGTACATCACGAATGCATGTCAATATTGTTAGGATAAACTTAATTTGTTCACTTTGTACACGTCATATAATACTAGATGTGATTTCTGATTGGCTGAGGAGATGATGTCATGTATAATTAATGAGTTGTACCACAATTCCTTGCGTTGTGTTCTTCAGTGTTATCTGTTAATAAAGTACTCGCATAGATCACTTCGATTCATTGTCTAGCCTTGTATTTTACAAGATGGATCAACGATGTCCAACAGGTTATGGGCCCAGGACGCGGTTGCTGTTTGACGGTGATGAATCGAAGTATGAACTTTGGGAGGTGAAATTCCTCGGGCATATGCGCCTACAAAAATTGGATGAAGTGATTGCACCAGCCCAAGATGGCGCCGAAGAACCAGAAGCGGGTAAAAATAAGGATGCGTATGCCGAGCTTGTGCAGTGCCTCGATGATAAGAGTTTATCGTTAGTTATAAGGGAAGCACACAACGACGGACGAAAGGCTCTCAAAGTTTTACGCGAACATTACGTTGGGCAAAGCAAACCTCGAGTTATCGCTTTATACAATGAGCTGACGACACTGTTGATGAAAGACAGCGAGGATGTGACCGACTATATAATCAGAGCCGAAAGTGCCGCTACGTCACTCAAGGCTGCAGGTGAGGTGATCAGTGACAGTCTTTTAATCGCCATGATGTTGAAGGGACTCCCCCCGCAATTCAGAACATTTGTTGCCGTCATAACTCAGAGGGAGAAGCAGCAAACATTTTCAAATTTTAAAGTAGCGTTAAAGAGCTACGAGGAGACCGATAAATGCGGCCAGCAGCGGGAAAACGTACCCGTGCAAGATGGTGTGATGAAGGTCACGCAAAGCCAAAATTTTTCAAACAGAGAGCGGGCACGCCAGTTTCCTTCACAGACGGGAACAAAATGTTACCGATGTGGCAAGATGGGGCATAAAATAGCAGATTGCTGGGCAAAGCCTAAGAAGTGGTGCGACGTCTGCAAATCCACGACTCACGTGACAAAAGAGTGCAGACGAAAAGATGCGGTCAAAAGCAGTAATGACGAAAATGAACACTCATTTTGTTTTGCGCTCAGTCATGATAATTTTTGTAACTCTGTAACTAAACAGCACAGCTTGTTGGTTGATTGTGGGGCAACTACACACATTGTAAATGATAAAGCAAAATTTGTTGAGTTTTGATAGAGATTTTTGACACGAAAAAGCCATGTGATAGAGCTGGCTGATGGCAGCCGTACAAATTAATGTAGTTTATTGGCAGGGGCAAATGCCTGTGTTGTATTATATGATGTAAATGGTCATGCTCATGATGTTATTTTAAGAAAATACTCTATATGTACCATCTTACAAGCATGATATTTTTTCTGTTTCAGGCTGCTACAAGTAAAGGAGTATCAGTAAATTTTTAATCCAAATGGTGCCCATATGAAAGCCCAGAGAATGGTACATTTTTTGAT